GCTCCCAGCCCCACGCGGTATCCCCCCGGGAGCCTGGGTCCCGCGCGACGGCTCGGCAGCGCAGAAGTTCCTGCAACTCCGGGGCCCGGCTCCCGCGGCTGCAGAGCGCAAGCGCACAGCGGAGCGCGGGGCGGCGGGCGCACCTGGAGGGGAAAGGGAGCCGCCGAGAGCTAGGAGCCCGGAGCGCAGAGCAGCCAGAGGGAGAGGACAGGTGCCAGGAGCCGGCGGAGAAGGTGGGAGAGGAGAAGGTGGACGGGTAGGAAAGGCCGGAAAGCGGAATAGAAATGATGTTGGGGAGAGGGTGGAGGGATTCTCTGAATCATCACTAAGCAGCTAGGGAGAGGAGGAGACGATTGTGAGCAGTGGCTATTGATCAGTGGCTATTGATTGGTGGACTATATTTGCGATGCAGTTTTAATCTTACCTAACTTCAGTACAGTTACCACAAGGAAGTTTAACGCGGATACAGTTCTACTTAATCCACCCTCGTATTCAACTTGGGTCTTGGGTCAGTTGTCCAACCCAGAACCACATGTTGCATTTACTTGTTGTACCTCTTTTAAAAAAAAAAAATTTTTTTTTATTTGATTTCAGAGAGGAAGGGAGAGATAGAAACATCAATGAGCCTGCCTCCTGCACACCCCCTACTGAGGTTGGATCCCACAACCCAGGCATGTGCCCTTGGCCCCAATCGAACCTGGGACCTTTCAGTCCACAGGCTGACGCTCTATCCACTGAGCAAACCAGCTAGGGCCTGTTGTACCTCTCTTCAGTTTGCTTTCATCTGAAGTCATTCCCCCAGTCTGTCTTTCATGGCCTTAACATTTTTTAAGAGAACAGGCCATTTATTTCGCAGAACCTTTCTCAGTTTGGGTTTGTCTGTTTTCTCCTGATTACTTTCAGGTGATGCACTTTGGGCTGGAACACTCACATTATGTTGTTTGTGTATTCCTATGAAGAGGCTCGTAATTAAGACAATGTCTGCCAAGTTTTTTTATTAAAAAGTTACTTTTTTAATCTGTAATTTATGGGGGAGACTTTAAGTAAACATTCTATTTCTCATCAAACTTTTATCTCCCACTTCCAGCATCCTAATATATAAAAAGCCAGGGGCTGTCACAACCAAAACAACTGGATGGATGACCGAACAGCAGGCTGCATGGGGTGACCAGGCAGGCAGGAGGGGCAGTTGGGGGCGACCAGGCCAGCACGGGGGGTGGGCAGTTAGGGGTGATCAAGCTTGGGGGGGGGCAGTTAGGAGGATCAGGCAGGCAGGCAGCTGAGCAGTTAGGAGCCAGCGGTCCTGGATTGTGAGAGGGATCCTGGATTGGAGAGGGTGCAGGCTGGGCTGAGGGACCCTCTCCATGCATGAATTTCATGCACCGGGCCTCTAGTATATTAATCCTATTTGGATCAATTATGTTTATGATGGTTATGAAATGTGATCATTTTAATTACACGATTCCTTCTGAATTCTATATTAAGGGAGCACTTTCCCTTTTCCTCCCTTTAAAATTCACTTGTATCAGTGAATACCCATGAATTTTTACATTATTCAATGGTTATGTTATTATCTGTGTTAGTTTGTTAAGGCTGCTATATAACAAGGTACCAGAGATTGGATGACTTAGCAGAAACTTATTTTCTCACAATTCTGAGGCTAGAAGTCTAAAATCAAGGTGTCAGTGGGGTTAGTTTCACTCAGAGGCCTCTCTCCTTGGCTGGTAGATGGCAGTCTCCATGTGTCTTCACGTGGTCTTCCTGCCATGCGTGTCTGTGTCCTACTCTCATCTCATAAGGACACCAGTCATATGGGATTGGGGCTCACCCATATGACCAAGTCCGGACAGCTGCCTGATTTTGTAAATAAGGTCTTATTGGAAGACAGCCACACTCATTCATTTACATATCATCTGTGGCTGCTTTTGTGCTACACTACAATCCAGTAGTTGCACAGAGACCATATGGCTTAAAAGGCATAAAATTCTGTTTGGTCTTCACAGAAAAAATTTGCCAACTCCTGCTCTAATAAATATAAATGTGAAAATATTTGCAAAATCTTCAAGAGCCAAAGGATTTGACTGTCAATTCTTGCATAACAAGTGTTTCTTCCTCTAGTGCAGTGGTTCTCAACCTTGGCTGCACATTAGAATCACCTGGGAATCTTTTTAAAATCCTGATTTCTGGGCCCGACCCCATAACAAAGAAACAGCATTTCCGGATGAGGCCCAGAAATCAGGATTTTATTTTTTTAAATATATTTTATTGATTCTTTACAGAGAGGAATAGAAAGTTAGAAACATCCTGCACACCCCCTACTGGGGATGTGCCCACAACCAAGGTACATGCCCCTGATCGGAATCGAACCTGGGACCTTTCAGTCTGCAGGCCGATGCTCTATCCACTGAGCCAAACCAGTTAGGTCAGAAATCAGGATTTTAAAAAGATTCCCAGGTGATTCTAATGTGCAGCCAAGGTTGAGAACCACTGCTCTAGTGCATAGGTTTTGTGATGTGGATGACTTCAGCTGTGGGCAGGTGGCTGTGATGGCAAGGTTGGGGAGGTAGCAGCGAGATTGAGGAAGGGAACTAACATACACTATACACTTATTCTGTACAGGACCCTGTGCTAGGTGCTTTATACACTGTTACGTTTATTTTGATCCTCACAATACTATGAGGTAGACAGTATTATTCTAGTTTTACTGAAGAAACTGAGATTTGCCCAAAGTCATGCAGGCATTAAATAGAAAAACAAAGATCCTAAGTCTGTCCCAAAGAGAGTCAGCAGAATCAGTTAAGATTCCCTAAGGAGGATTCTCAGGCATTTTGTGCTCATAATTCATACACACTGGGTGCTGGGCTTCTCTGATTTCTAGTACAAAACACCCTAAGATCGCCGAGAGAAAGTAACTAACCCTTTCTTTAATGTATAGTAAAAACATACACCAAGGACCAGAAACTTGGTATCATCATGAAAATCACATCAGGAAAGTCATCGCTAGTGCTTTAATCATTCACTCTCTACAATGGGGGTAATATTCTGATTACCTTGGAAAGTATCAAAAAGCTCTGAAAATAGCTCAATATGAAAGTATAAGGCATCTTTTTTTAGTTTTTAACTCTATCTAAACAGGCATGCCTCTAAACTAATTTGGCTATCTCATTCTTTAGTTATCTTTCTCAAATTTTAGTATTGATAGGCACCTTCAAGGCTGCTTATTAAACTCAGATACCAAGGCCCCACATCCAGAGATCTCTTCTACTGACCTGGGTCGGGCCCCGGAGTCAGAATTCAAGGTGATTCTGAATCAGGTGATCTGAGAGCCATACTGCTTGCAGATATAACTGATGTTTCACAAGATCTAATTAAAATAACCACATTATTAAAAAGCTTTTCACATAACTAATGCATGCTGTAAAATAATTTAATGTGAAACAATTTAAGCACTACTGAAATACGTAAGAGTAAATATCCCCTCCTTACCATCTACTTTTCTCATCTTTCATCCAGAGAAGTTTGCTAATTAGCTTTCCAGACTTGAACTTCCCATGCATATACAAATATGTATATATTGGTTAAGAATGGCTGGCGTGGCTCAGCTGGTTGGCATCATCCTGTACACCACAGTGGTTTTGGGCTCAAGGTGTGCATTGATGTTAAATAAAATAATACATCCAGCCCTAGCAGGTTTGGCTCAGTGGATGGAGCATCGGTCTGCGGACTGAAGAGTCCCGGGTTCAATTCCAGTCAAGGGCACATGCCCGGGTTGCAGGCTTGATCCTCAAGGAGGGGGCGCGCAGGAGGCAGCCGATCAATGATTCTCTCTTCATTGATGTTTCTACCCCTCTCTCCCTCTTCTTCCCTCTCTGAAATCAATAAAAATACAGTAAAAAATAATAATACATCCAAACATGTAGAGGATTCTTATAAGTTTATTTGAGCCCTGGCCAGTATTGCTCAGTTGGTTGGCGCTTAGTTGGAGCATCCCGTACACCAGGAGGTGGCGGGTTCGATTCCCGCTCGGGGTACATTCCCGGTTGTGGATTCGATCTCCGGTCAATGGATGTTTCCCTCTCCCTTCCTCTCTCTCTAAAATCAGTAAAAACTTATTTTTAAAAATAAGTAAATTATTATTCCTCCCTCTGTGCAAATTCGGCTTACAAGTTTGACAGCAACACGGCCAAGAAAGAGGTGGGTTTGGAGAAGACAGGGCGGGACGCTACGGTTCTAGGAGGAACCAGCGACCAGGGCGAGGGCAGGAGCAGGCAGGCGGCTGCGTTGGCCCCGGAAATGCCGACAGGGACGGCGAGGGCAGACCCGCGCCGCCGTCCTCCCGCTCTCACCGCCTCTGCTCGCCGCTCCTCCCGCCTCACCTTCAGCCGGTTCTCCAGTTCCCAACCAGCTCCGCCGACCGCGGCTCCTCAGGCCGCAGCTGGAAGCCAGAGCCACGAGCAGGGCCGACCTCAGGCACTCGGCTGGTTTCAGCTCACAGCACCCCCGCCGCCCTCCCCAGCGGTACCTATAGCAACCGGAGCGGTCCTTCTCTTCTTGCCCCGCTTCTTCCGCTTGCGATCTGCTTCCGCTTCCGGTCGGGGCTCCTGGCTGGGTGGTGAAGAGCTTTGCATTGTGGGTACTACTTCCTTTCTCGCTCCCCGGCCATCTTGGCGGCTGCATCTGGTGAGTGGGCTCCAGCGGCTGGCGCTTTCGCCTCGCGGAGGGCCCCGCGGGTTGCCATTGGACCTCGGGTTCCTGAGCTCCCTTTCCTGTGCTCCGTGTGTTGTAGGTTGGGGGCCGTCCCGCACTTGAGGCAGGAAGATGGTGGCCGCAAAGAAGACGGTGAGTGGAGCGGGCCGGGCCGGAAGCCGGTTCACGTGGGGAGCTGTCTCGGTGGCGGGGCGGGCAGGGGAGCACCCCGGGGAGACAGCATGCCCGATGGATTCGGGGGGGCTCCCAAAAGGAACCCGATTGGGCCTTTCAAGGACTTGGGACCTGGACTTCGGAGGGTTTACTCATGGTCTCGGCTTGCAGAAAGCTGGGTCCAGTTTTGCGGTGGTTCCGCACCAGGCCTTTCAGATGCACGGTAAATGTTTGCTTTGTAGAAAAAGTCGTTGGAGTCGATCAACTCCAGGCTCCAGCTGGTGATGAAAAGCGGGAAGTACGTGCTGGGGTACAAGCAGACGCTGAAGATGATCCGACAGGGCAAAGCGAAGCTGGTCATCCTGGCCAACAACTGCCCGGCCTTGAGGTGTGTGCGCTCCCTGCCAGTTCGTCGGGAGCGAGTGTGCGGCGTGCAAACCGGCAGTGTGGGTGGCCCGCACTCGAGATGATATGTTTTATAAGCGAACACTTGGCAGGAGGCTGCTATTGTGAATGACTTAGCTGTTACGGTGTTTGGCTCTGGATTCCCACCCCCATCCCCCCAGCATGTTTTCTCCCCTTGTAAGCTTACCTTACGGGGGAAATGGGGCAGAAATGATAAAGATCACAATGTCAAACGTTTGAGGGGAGCACATACATCGATGTTGTTTTTACATGTATTTTGTGCTGTGTCTTTGGTCATTTAGCCTTGAGATGCTCTAAAAGTGCTTCATTGTCTGAACTCGTTTTGGTGTAGAAAAGCTAGTTCAGGAAAGTTCAGGCGGACAGTGGAGTTGCAGATCGGCCTAGAATCACCTAGTTCAGCGGTTCTCAACCTGTGGGGCGCGACCCCTTGGAGGTCGAACAACCCTTTCACAGGGGCCGCCTAAGACCATCGGAAAACACATATATAAGTACATATTGTTCACAGTAGCAAAATTACAGTTATGAAGTAGCAACGAAAATAATTTTATGGTTGGGGGTCACCACAACATGAGGAACTGTATTAAAGGGTTGTGGCATTAGGACAGTTGAGAACCAC